AATAGAAGCTAGAGGAATATATAATGTTGGACAAGCAAGAGGCATGACATTTTGGACACCAAATATTAATATATTTAGGGATCCAAGGTGGGGAAGAGGGCAAGAAACGCCTGGTGAGGATCCATTGGTTACAGGGAAGTATGCAGTCTCATTTGTGAGAGGAATACAAGGGGACTCGTTTGAAGGAGGGAAGCTTGGTCAGAATCTACAAGTTTCAGCCTGTTGTAAGCATTTTACAGCTTATGATTTGGATAACTGGAAAGGAATTAACCGGTTTGTCTTCGATGCAAATGTAAGTGTGACTTTCAAAGTTTTCACTTAATTTTTGACTTATTGTTAGTATTTGTTCGTTTGTGTTTGAATTAATTTGCTATATTCCATTCTGGTTTTAAATGCATTATGAATTGAATATGATCTACTACCTCTCTTGTTTCTGGATTTCAGGTCACTGTACAGGATTTAGCAGATACATATCAGCCTCCTTTCCAGAAATGCATTCAGCAAGGGAAAGCCAGTGGGGTAATGTGTGCTTACAATCGTATTAATGGAGTTCCAAACTGTGCAGATTACAATCTCTTGTCGAAAACAACCCGAGGACAGTGGGGATTCAATGGGTAATAAAATGGACTAACATTATTGACAAGCTTTTTCTTTTTAGAAATAAATACAGAAAACTATTCAAAGGTCATTCAGAAAAATGATTCTATGCTTGGTTTAAAACTATACAGGTACATCACCTCAGACTGCGATGCTGTCTCCATCATTTATGATGAACAAGGATATGTTAAAGAACCTGAGGATGCTGTAGCTGATGTTCTCAAAGCTGGTAGTTAAGAGAGAGTATGCTATGATTATAGTTTATGAATGCTGATTAGCTTATCTGCAATTTTTAATCAACACATTTTACAGGAATGGACTTGGACTGTGGTGAATATTTGAAGAACTACACCGAATCAGCCATTGAAAAGAAAAAGGTGTCCGTATCTGAAATAGATAGAGCCCTGCACAACCTTTTCTCAATTAGAATGAGGCTGGGACTTTTCAACGGTAATCCAACAAAACAGCCTTTCGGCAACATTGGTTCAGACCAAGTCTGCTCCCAAGAACACCTGAATCTTGCCCTTGAGGCTGCTCGCAATGGCATTGTCCTTCTAAAGAACACTGACAGACTCCTTCCACTTTCAAAAACAAAAACTACAACCCTTGCTGTAATAGGCCCCAATGCCAATTCTACAGAAACACTTGTTGGAAACTATGCTGGCCCTCCTTGCAAACCTATTACCCCATTGCAAGGATTGCAAAGCTATGTCAAGCACACTAACTATCACCCTGGTTGTAGTACTGTCAACTGTTCTTCTGATTTGACTGATGAAGCAATGAAGATAGTAAAGGGAGCAGACCAGGTGGTGTTAGTAATGGGACTGGATCAAACCCAAGAGAGGGAAGCTCATGATCGTGTAGACTTGGTTCTTCCTGGAAATCAACAGAAACTAATTTCTAGCATTGCAAGCGCTGCAAATAAGCCTGTCATTCTTGTGCTTCTATGCGGAGGTCCTGTAGACATAACCTCTGCCAAGAATGATCAGAATATTGGAAGCATTATATGGGCTGGCTATCCAGGTGAAACCGGAGGACAAGCCCTAGCAGAAATTATATTTGGTGATCACAACCCAGGTGCAGTTTCAGGCGTAAAGGTTGTATGATAAAATTACTTGCATGATAAATAAAATTGCTATCATATTTGTATGCAGGAGGGAGATTACCAGTTACTTGGTATCCACAAAATTTGACTAAAATACCAATGACAGACATGAGAATGCGTCCTGAACCATCTTCAGGCTATCCTGGACGCACTTACAGGTTCTACCAAGGGCCAAAGGTTTTTGAATTTGGCTATGGTCTCAGCTACTCAAATTATACTTATGAATTTCTCCCTGTAACACAAACCAAGGTCTACCTCAACAATCAGTCAAGTGATAAAATTGCTGTGGGATACAAGTCAGTTTCAGAGATGGGAACAGAACTTTGTGAAAAGAGAAAGTTCCCAGTCACAGTAGGAGTTCAAAACAATGGTGAGATGGCAGGTAAGCATGCGGTGTTGCTGTTTATGAGGCAAGCAAAGGCTGGTAATGGGAGGCCAATGAAACAATTGGTGGGATTCAACAGTGTTGATCTGAAAGCAGGGGAAAAGGTTGAAATTAAATTTGAGTTGAGCCCTTGTGAGCATCTTAGCAGTGCAAGTGAAGATGGTCTGATGGTAATAGATGAAGGGTCTCATTTCTTGAGCATTGGAGACAAAGAATCAGAGATTACAGTCGTTTTCTCATCTGATACTAGTGGCGGTGCCACATCAAAGCTGGAAAGGGCCGTGATCCTCCCAAGAGTTTTGAAATTCTTTTACATATATGCATTATTATGCATATGTTTTTGAAATACATCTCGTGAAATGAATTACTTGACCTCTCAAATTTTATATGTAAATTCATTAACGTTTCGACGCAATAGCATTCTTTTTGAAGTTCTGAAAACTGCTTCCACTACATTGCATCACATCTTCCATTCAAACGTAACCAACCGGCAAGATTTAAACTTAAAAAAGTTTTATCAACCTTAAAGTAAAAATATTATCTCCAACCTCGGTTTGAAGCATGGGGAAAATTGGACCACTATTTACGTTTTGAAGCATGAGGAAAATAGGACCATTATTTATTAGCCATAATTTTACAAAAACTGGATTTATCATTGTAAATTTGTACTGTAGTAGTTTTTTGATATTCAGTTTTCAAAGCAAGCAAATGGTAATCCTACCTTTAAAGTACACTATGCTAAGATTGAATGTGTGCATACTATCGTGTAATGGAATCCCCAAACTGTGCAGGCTACAATCTCTTATATAAATCGGCCAGAAAACAATAGGATTTCCAAGGGTAAAGAAAATGAAGATTTCATTGACTTGGTAGTCAATCACTTGGATTATTATGATACAATGAACTAATGTTCTTTGCGTTATGGGTTGAAAAATATCAGGTATATGTGTCAGATTGTGATGCAGTCCAAAATATGTATGAGCAACAGGGATAAGCAAAATCATCCTAGGATGCGGTCGCTTATGCCCTCAAAGCTGGTAATGGTTTAGTTCTTGACATGTTCTCAGTTTCAGAGCACTCCTGGCAATATTGGATTTTATGATCAGCCAAAAGTTTTGACATGCCGGCCAAGTGATTCTGGTCATTGTTAGGGATGTCAACAAGCAGATAAAAAATGTTCTCTTTTTATGCTAAATCTAACTTTGAATGGACAACTTTGCACGAATGGATGTCAACTGCAGTACATATTTGCAGGACCATACCAACTCTGCAATCAAAATGATATAGATAGAGCTCTTCTGAACCCTTTTTCCATTGGGATGAGACGGGGGCTTTTGAATGGTAATCCACCTAACAACCTTTTGACAACATTGGTTTCAACCAAGTCTATTCCATAGAGTAGCGGCGTCTAGCCCTTGATGCTGCTCGGGATGGCATTGTCCTTTTAAAGTACTCTGCCAGACTTCTCTCTCTTTCAAAAGCAAAAACCGTGTCCCTTGCAGAAATAGGTGCCAATGCAAATATTCCACGCACACTTCTTGGAAACTATGAAGGTCCTCCTTGCAAAACTGTTACACCATTGCAAGCATCGAAGAAGTACGTTAAGAATGCTAGGTAGCACCCAGGTTCTAACACAGTAAGTTGTTCTTCTGCTTTAATTGATGAATCAGTTAAAATAGCAAAAGAAGCAGATCAGGCGGTGTTATGGGACTTGTTCAAACTGAAGAGAGAGAAAATTTCGATCATCTGGACTTGTTGCTCGCAGGGAAGCAAAAGAACCTTATCGCCAGCATTACAAGAGTTGTGGAGAAGCCTGCTGTTCTTGTGCTTCTTTGCGGAAGTCCAGTAGATGTATCTTTTGCCAAAGATGACCAGAATGTTGGAAGCATTCTGCGGGAAGCCTATCCAGGTGAAGCTGGAGGACTTGCACTAGCACAAATCATCTTTTTTGGTGACCATAACCCAGGCGACCTCAGTTATGCTTGCAAGATAAACTCCATTTCTATGCATTAAAAAAAAAAAAAAAAAAACTAGGGGAGGCAGTTCAATATTATAGATTAATGAGTTAATAGTACAATACATGTTTCAATGCAGGCAGGAGACTGCCCGATACTTGGAATCCACAAAGTTTCACCAAAACACCAATGACGGATATGATGATGCGTGCTGAAACCATCCTATAGCTACCCCAGCCTCGCTTACAGATTCTACAAAGGCCCAAAGATTTTTGACTTCAGCTATGGGCTAAGGTGCTCAAATTATTCTTACAAATTCCTCTGTGTCGCCCAAACAAAGCTCTACTTCAATCAGCATCCAAGTGACCATATTACCAGGAAGCCAAAACCTATCAGATTTATATCAATTTCAGAGATGGTCACCAAACTCTGCAAGAAGAGGAGGTTTACGGTCAAAATTGGAGTTCAAAACTCTGGAGAGATGGCAGGTAAGCGTCCAGTATTGCTATTTATTAGGTATTCAGGGGAGGGAAACGGGAATCCCCTGAAACCATTGATAGGATTCCAAAGTGTGAATCTGAAGGCAGGAGGAGAAAGAAATGAAATAGAATTTGAACTTGGCTTTTTTGAGCACCTTAGTGGAGCCAATGTAATAGAAGAAGGTTCATGGAGAAGAAAAAGTATGAGATCAGAATCAACACCTGAACAAGGGGAGCGGGGACAGGCAAATTCACCTGGTTGATGGATATACAGTCCCTGGCTAATTTGGGTAGCTAACAAGCCAGGCATCACTAGATAGGAATTTGCAAATGACTACTAGCCAAAAAAATGTTGCCCTGAGCACTTTAGTCATCCAGGTATTAGTTGTGAATCAAGGCATTCCAATTTGGTGATAACAATCAGCTATACTGATAACAAAATTATGAAACTAATGACACTTGAACTAGTATCAAATTTTTATTTTGCCCCTGAACAGAGATTTTGTTTAATGTGGCCCCTGAAATATGATTAGATTATGTAGTCAAGTCACCAACTCTGTTAAGTCTGTTTGCTGAAGCGCTACTAGGCCAGTAAAAATGTGAAATGTGGCACTGATGTGAATAATGCGAATGTTTGGGAGGTATTCCACAATCATCAACTTAAACCTTTCAATTCTAGTGTATTTGATACAATAACAAGGAGTAGAAACAGAATCAGAGCAGAAGTATAGGCTGTTAATATATGAGATTCCCTAGCGACAGAGCAATAGGTGACACTTACTGTACTTCTGTTCCCTCGGAAGGTTGCAATAATAAAACCTGGATCATCCCTCACTGTCCATGACATGGCTGGGACTGTTACCTCACGGGTCCCATCTAGGTGAGTGTGGTCACTAAATTCATGTGTGTGGGCACTAAAAATGATCCTACACAGGGAGCAATTGTTGTCAGATCATAAAATGCACTTCCATGCAAATTCTGAACACATTCTCCTTAAGCTATTGAAAATGCTATAACAAGCAGGGAAAATCATAGATTGTGACAAAGAAGTAAATTTGTTTCACTGCCAAAATTTAAAGTATAGTTATCTATCATCATTACTTTCATTCCTGTAGCCATATCTAACATCAAAGAAGCCAGGGTGAATAATGAGTTCCATTATACGATATACAATTTGCCCAAAATGTAGTAAGTCAACATGTAATCCTCCAAAGATTTCTAAAAGGTATTAAATTTGTTCCAAGCATACTATTATGCCTGACAAAGGGGAAAAACGAATTATTATTGGTAGTTGAACTCAGTTAATAACCGCAAAAATAGTAGGAAGCATACATGCAATTAGGTGGCAATAGAAAGTGCAAAAATAAGCAAGCAGAAAATTCTTTGCAGATTCTATAGTGGATGCTTACCTAGGTTTAAGAGCATGAAAAATGTATTCAGTAGCGTTTGGCGGGACAGTCTGTGATAGACCATAAGGGCCAGTCCCCAAAAAGCCTCTGAAGGAAAAAAATTTTGAACAATTTTTAAGTAGAATGCTTGGCAGCAGAAGTGAAAAAAATAAATAAATTTTACATGGTAAAATTCAGTTTACATGCATAGCCCAGAAAATCTTTATTCTATTGACATGATTAAGGAATACCATGCTAATCCAGATCTCAGAAGTGGGTAAAATTTTGCTTAAATTATTTTATCCAACAACATTATCTATCCCCTTCCCATGATCCCATCAATAAAAGATGGTTTTAACCTATGATCAACAAGGTAGTAGAAAGATGAGGGTTAAGTCTATAATAAATTGGACGCTGGAAACTGAATATTAAGATAGTCAGTTCAATACCATTCCCATAACTTCCATTTCAACTGAAACTCTATCACAAACATGCAGGAAATTATTTCATAAAAAAAAAAAAAAAAAAAGAACGAAACCATCTAAAAAAGATCCATGATACACAAGGCATACAGAGAGTGCAGACTGATAAGATATATTTACCTGCTCTCTGCTGAAGCTGGATCATGTCCTGATGGATCAATGGTAGACTTGAAAGTACTAACTTCCCTTTTATAGGAGTTTCCTGACTGGTACAAGGGAAAATGAAGTAATAGGACAGGACCAGAACCAGATGTCATAGCATTTTCTCTCCAACTAAAGCCATAGGACAGCTCCCTAAACATAGCAGACTCATTCTTTGCTTCATCTGTGCCTTTTATTTCCATTTGCAGATCTACACTTTCCCTTTCTATTACCTTCTCAACATCAAACAGAAGTTTATTGTTACCACAAAGCAATGCCACAGCATTAAGTGAAACAAAGCTGATATTGCTAATTTCAAAAGCACCACATCCCGATGAATCCAGTCCTGGAAAATTACTAGTTATCCAATTAACAGAATTTGCATCAAGACCACTACACTCTCCAACATCCCTGTCACCAAGAATAACGTGTAAAGGGAGGTCAAGAAACGGTCCCAAGATGTGATTAAACTGATGAAGCACCGATAACCATGTACTTCTTGACAACTCTGACCCTTTTGCAGAAACATCACCTAAGACTAGTAGCATATCAGGGTTCAAACTCTGGAAAGATTTCTGCATTGCATATTAGCGAAGAATGAAGAATATCAGTATCTTTTAGTTCAAAATTTTAGCCTCGAACTGGTTGTTGCTTTTGCTACTTGAATTTTCCTTTCAGAAGCAAAAAAATACAAAACCAAGCAATATAATCTTATTCTGTGACTAGAGAAATGTATAATTTTAGCATCTTATATTTATAAAGAATAGTTACATTTGAATTCTGTTATAATTTAATCATTTCCTTACCTTAAATCAACATGATTTAGCTTTTTTCTAGTATCTGTTTTTGCATTTTAGCAACTTTTAAACTATTAGAAATAAATTTTTTTAAAAAAGTACTAAAACAAAATATCAGACAAAGTCTTATTCAAATTAACTTAAAGGCACAGGCATTTCAGAATTGTATATCTCTCTACTCTACAATGACTGTTATTTAGAAATCAATAGCAACTACACACCTCCAATCCAGTAAGGTCATGTCATGTTTCAGAACAAAATCTCCCATTTCCCTTAAGAATTCGATGAACCCAGAAAATAATATCAATATAAGTAAGACCACTTTCACTCAATGTATGAGATATAAACTTCTTAAAAACTGCTGAAAGCAAACATGGGTTAAAATTTGACCTTGAAAAACTTTGACATGTAATAATATCTGAAATAGAGGTCGAAGAAACCAGCTTCAGTGCCACGCAAGAGCAAGTTGGCAACCAACATAACCTTAAGATCCTCAGGCGAATCATCGTCGTTCCCGACATGTTCATCGAGATTGAAGGTGGTATTTGGAAGGAGTTTGCAAGAAGGAAATGAGACCCACTCTTCGTATACTATGAAAGTAGAGATTATTATTACAGGCAACAAAGACCTCCAAGCAACTGCTACCATTCTCTTCGGTTTTGTTTTAGCTGTGAAGGATTATACGGCTTCGGCACTGTTGCCGACACCGGAACTCGTTGTACGAACAGTAAATGGAAGAAAACTCCTAAACTTCCTGCTGACTTTCACAAATTCATTGAGTTTGAAAGGTTATAAAATAATGGAGTAACAAATCATCACTACATTGAAAATTAGGCCCAATTCATCTACATTAATGCTTGGCCCACATCTAGCAGCCTGGCAAGATCAATTTAGTTTCTTGGTATTATATATATATGAATAATTGGATCCGATAACATTGAAAATAATAATAAAAATTATTATAATTATAATTTTTAAAAATTTTATTATAATTACGATTAAAAAATTTTAATAAAAAATTTATATTGAAAACATTTCATTAAAATTTATATTAGAATTCAATTAATAATTATTGAAATTTAATTATACCTTATTAAAGATGCGATTGCATCCTAACATAAACTAAATAAAATCAATTTAATTAAAAAACTGACAAACAAAAAAATAAATATAATAATGCCAAATATGATTTGAAGGATATATACATCTTGTCACTTTAGAAGAACAATCACCCATTCACAGTTACTCACTTTTTCATATTTAACTTAATTAATTTATTTATTTATTTTTAAGAGATGATTCGATGAATATGAAATTGAAATTTCAATATTTTTTTCATCTTTAGACTATGAGCGCATTTGAAAAAAAAAAATCACTTTTCAAAATATAATTTTTTTAAAGCATGTTTTTCTTTTTACCCTTTACAGTGGGTGTGCCTAATTCTAATTTTTATTAATGTAAATTATTTTAACGATAAAGTTTAGGATTTTTGGGATAAGAGTGATCCAAAATTTCTTTGGGGATAAACAGTTTTATTTTCCTTTTTAATTATTAATGAGAAATTGATAACCATCAATTAAAGACCATAGACTACAAAACATATGAAGATTTGAATTTACAGAGCGTCTAAACCTACGTCATAAAAAAAATGTATATAATTTATCAAGTTGGATAAAAATGTCATTCTATATCATTATGTTATTAATGTATGCTCAGTAAATAACTGTCAGGTTTGAATTCTATAACATTCAAATTTGTGTTAGGATTTGATTGTTTCTTTCAATTATAATTTATTAATTAATTATATAAATATAATACTTAATTATAAATTTAATTTAATATATATATATATATCATATTTGGATTTGAATTTTAGAGTATTCAAAAATTATTGAAACGGGAAGACGAATGTGAAATTTTGACTTCAACTATGAAAAATTATTACATGACCCAAAGTTCTATACAACGGTCAATAAGATATTAATAAAGGAATAGATTTTAATTTTTGTTATTAAAACGATGGTTATTTGCTTAAAATATAATGTATACATTTAATATTCATGTATATTATTGAATTTTATCATTTTGAAATTAAGAATGAATAATATCCTTAATTGTTTTTTATTATATTAAAACGTTGGATAATAATTTAATTATATATGTGAAAGTACTTTTTAATTACTATTCAAAATTTTTTAATTATAATTTTTAACTTCTTAATTTATTTATATTAAAATTTCATAAACTTTGGTATGCTTGTATCTTATGGGATAAAAATTAATTTAGAAATATAATTAAGATAAATGTTTGTTTTCATCAGTTCAAAATTTTTTTTACATCCATATTTTCATAATAAATTATAGATTGCCCTCGGCGCTCCATTTGTTGCCAATTTAGGAAATTACAGGCGAAGTTGAGCTGGTATAGCTACAAATACATCTTTGTCATAAAATCATAGTAGGCTGTAGCTATGGCATCTTCCTTTGTTTAATCATGTGATGTGTTTTTGGACTAGTATATGATTGTGTTGCATAAAATCAAAGTGGGTTTGCATTAAACTACTTTAATACCAACATCTATTCATTTCGAATTTGGTACAGGAAATTGGAAAGACAAAAAAGAAAAAAAAAAAGACACGAGTATAAGACATAGGAAGTGCATTTATTATTTCAAATGTGAAAGCAATATTGAATTTTAACTCAATTACGCATAATGTGTATATTTTATTTTTATAATTTATATAATAAATTAAATTCATTCTTCAAAAGTATGGTATTTTTAAATTTTTAATTATTTCCCTTCATTTTACATTGAAAAATTTTGTATTTATTTATAATGACACCTGTAATTATCTATTTACTTATAATAATATTTTGATTGATTGTCATATATGTTTGTATAATATTATATCATATTTAATAAATATTTAATTTTTTATAATCTTATATTCAGATTGAGCTCCTCACTTACTGTCAATTAATTTTAAGTTTGATACTTAACATGATATTAGAGTCATGATTTATTTTTATTGTCTTTTATAAATCTATCACATAATAGGCTTCTTTTATCTCCAATTATACGTGTTGAGAGCCTATTCAAATGGGTTATACGTGTTGAAGGTCTTTTAAAGTGGGTTATCTCATGTCTAATAAATATCAAATTTCTTGTAATCTTATATTTAAATTGAGTTCTTTTACTTATTGTCAAGATTTTAAGTAAAATACTTAACATGATATTAGAGCCATGATTTTTTTTTTATTATTTTTCTCAAATATGTCAAAAATTTATCACATGATAGGCTTATTCTATCTCTACCTTTACTTCTATCTCTACCTACACGTGATGGGTTTGTTAATATAGTATTATCTCATATCTAATAAATATCTAATTTTATATAGTTTATATTCAAGTTGGACATTCAATTTACTGTCAATTGATTTTAAGTTAAAAGAGTTTAACTTGAATATAAAATTATAAAAAATTAAATATTTATTAAATATAATATAATTCACTTTAATAATATATGATATTTATATATTAATAATAAATCAAATATAAATTTCATATAAAAATAAAACAATTTGATCTTAAAACCTTTTAATCTCAATTTTTTAATATCTTGATCAAAATTTAAGAATTCCTACACTTTTCATCAGTATAATAATTATATAGAAAATTTGATAGAATTTGACTCTGAGTATTTCTCAAACTAGAATATTGCAAGAATTCATACTGGAAAAATCAATCGAAACTGCCATCAAAATTTAAATGAAGAAATTTGTAAGTTACCATAATTTGAAGCTAAGAGGTTATTTCATAGTGATTCATATTATGCAGTTGAGAACCAAGCTGAGAATATAAATACATTACCTAACACAAGCCTATCACACCAACTCTTCTAATTTTCGCCCCAGTTTGAAATTTCATAAACCTATAAAAATAATAGGGGCTTAGCCTAAACACCATATTGACACTTTTTTTCATCAACAAATATTGAGTACAATTAATTTAGACAGGATTCGGTTTTTGACATTTTCCATCGTTTCACCGTATAATCCAAAACCTCATTAAAAGTTGCTTATTGCAAGAGTAATGCCTACCAAATTATTTATGGAAAATAATTATTTAATAAATTCATAAAAATAAGATCATTGAACTCGTGAGTGACTTTACAAAATATAGATAATTAATGTATAAAAATTCAATTAAAATTCCAATAAAAAATTTGGAATCCATAAAAATAATTTTTTTTTAAATTTATAACACATGCTTAATATGATGGGAAGGATGCCCAAAGAATTAAATATTAACTCAAATAATATATTATTGAATTTTTAAAAATTGTAAGTTTTAAGATGTTTTAGAAGTTTAATTTTTTTTCAGTTGAATTAAGTGAAAAGGAGTTGATAGGTTAAGGATATATTAAAAATAATAATGAAAAAAGTTCTAAATAAATAAAAAAGAACCGTTTGTAATTTTTTCTTATATGAGCTTGATTTTTAAAATTATAGAGAGGTTAATCGCTTGAACTGAGGCCCAAACTCGGAAACTGTATGGATTATACCATGCATGATGCTGACCCAGTCAACTTGTCCGAATCGGTGAAAAGTCCAGAGCCGATTCACATGGCATGGGCAGGCTAGGTTTTTCTTTTATTTTCTTTTGGCAAACGTAAGCTAAACTTTGTTTGGATAATGTGACGGGATTCTTTAAAGAAGGTAAAAAAATTCGTACCCGATAAATTTCGGTTTCACTCGATATTTTAAGGTCGATTTTTTTTTTAAATTGGGTATCGGGTAGGGTCGGGTTGGGATCGAGTTTTAGGTAAACCGATCATATCCGACCCGATATATAAATAATTTTTTAATTATTTATTTATATATATATTTATATAATTATATTTTTAAATATTTATATTTAACAAATAATATTTTATAAATTTCGAGTTGAATACGGTTTATATAATAGCGAGTCGGATTCAAATATGAAAAAACAAAAATTATTCAGATAAAATCAGATTTAAAACAAGTAAAACTCGTTTTGAATTCGATCCGATGTTAACTCTAAGATTCTTAAATAAAACAATCGACACCTGCCAAACAGAGGGTGCCCCATCCAAAAAAAACAAAAAAAAAACTGCGGTTAGTTATGTGATTGTCACGCCGCAAAGCACTGTAATTTAATATCTCGGAAATTTTTTGGCTAATTTACTGCTAAGCGGGAGTCTGTCATTATAAATTACTTTTTACCTTTAAAACTTTTTTAAGCTAAATTCCATTACGTTTATCCTTTCTTTATTGATTGTTATATGCTTAAAAAGTGGTTGCTATTCGTCTTTATCTTTTTTTTTTTAAGTGATTAAGAAGGTTTTAAAAAAATCTAAGATTAAGAGTTCAAATTCTATTATTTTTATCTTTTATTCTCAGTCCAATAAAAAAAATAATTGCTAATCTTTTTTCATTATAAAGTTACAAAATAACTTTTTTTTTGTGTACTTGCAAAAATAAAAGATATCACATTAGTCGATCTCATTTTCGTTTTTTTTTTTTTTTGCTTTGATATTAAAATAGTAAAATATACAGTACAAAATTTACTTTAACTTATTTATATAATTATTTTAAAATTTTGATAGTTAATAATTTTAAAATTTAAATTTCATCACTTGTAATATTTTTTATTTTCATGTTATAATATATTTTTTTATTCACACACTACATTTTTTGTAAAAAAAAAGGAAATTTATGAAATGTAACAGAACTTATATTCCTTTTTGAA